GCTGCCCCCCTAGCGCCCGGCAGCAATTCCCCCCTCTCCCCCCCTCAAAACCGCACGAATGGGGCTGGTGCAACCCCCCCGCACACATACACACGCACAAGCGATCCTCTTCCCGGACTGCCCCTCCTCAGCGCGGGGCTCTGGAGGTGAAGACAGGCGCCCGGCACACCTGGGCACCGGGAGAGGCGCCCATTGCTTTGAGCGGATGAGTGAGGGGCGCAGGCAGCCGCCTGCAGCTCCAGACCTCCCTCCCCCGGGACAAGGCTGCCCTCTGCCATCGCCAGCAGAGAGATCTTGTCGACCCTGCTTCCTTCCTCCCCTGCAGCAGGACTTCCCATTGTACCAGGCACCCTGGGGGCGAGGGGCTTTTTTAAGGGGGGGGCTCTGTGCTTTGTCTGGAGACCCCCCCAGTAGAGCCGGGCCTTCTCAGGCTGCTCTGACACCGGCTCCCCAAGCCAGCCTCCCTCCCTGGCTTTGCCGGGTCCCTGCGGCACAGCTGGGGCTGATGCCCGCTGAGAGCTCGGTGCTCATCTGTGCAGCGCTGTTAAACTGGGGGCCTGCGCTTGGACCATCAGTGCCTTCAGTTTCAAGAGGTGATCTGTGTTTAATGTTTTGTGGGTGCCGGCGCCTGGCAGTGCCCACGGCTCAGGCCACCTGGCCAATGATGCCCACTTCAGCAGCAGGCGCCAGGGAGAGTCTCCTGGCCGGCAGCTGCCACCTCAGTCTTCAGCCACAGATCCCGTCAGGGGGAGAGCCGGCTGTGGAGGGGGCTCTTGTGGCTCCTGTAATACAAATACAGAAGTCCTCAGAGAACTACTAGCCCTCTCCCTACTCAAGGGACCAAACCCAATTATCCAAAGTGATCAAAAGACAAGTTATCTTGCTTCCTCCAGGGCAATGAACTGCTTGGAGCTGACTTTGACAGCAGCAGCAGTCCACAGAGCCTCCTCCGAACAGTTACTGCTGCAAAAATCTGCTCCAGCATCCCTACCCTCCCCCTGGACAGGACTGTTCATCTTGAGTAGTGCCTGAAGTCTCACTGATTTCCAGGAGTAAAATGCAATGGTTTGTGAGCAAGGATGGCAGAAGGTAGCCCTCTCTCTCTCCTTTAACTGGTCTAAAGTCCACTGAGCGGCAAGAACCTATTTGTAACAGACACGAAGAAAAGGACAGTCATCTTTTAGTTTGTCTTAGGGCTTAGGCACAGTTGCAGTTTGTGAGAGAGCTGTGAACTGGGACAGGCTTCCTCTGAAATAAGGCACTGAGACTCAGCTAAATCTAGGCTCTGAGCCAATATCTTCTTCATTGGAAGGCATTGGTGATGGCCAATTCCAGGGATGTAATTCTGTTTTAAGCACGGGGCTGGACTAGTTGGCCTCCTAAGGTCCTTTCCAGCCTTACTTCTCTATGAGGAAGCTCAGCATCTCACTGATAGACCCAAAGAAAGGTACCGCCAGCTTTAGTAAACCTGTCTCGGCTGCTTGAGTAGCATTCCCCAATGTCTATCCAGCATGACTTCAGTCCAGAGAATCAGGCCTATTACATTCTCAAATCAAACCTAAGCCCTGCAGTCTCTCCTCAGGTAAAATGCAGAGGCTGAAATCCTGGCTCCACTGAAGTCAATGGAACCAGGATTTCACTTTGAGTGAAATGAATAGGACTTCTGGTTGAATAAGAAGTATAGACTCTGGTCCCTGATACGCTCTTTCAGTTTCTTGTTACCTTTTGTCTGTTTTCAGGGAGAAGAGAAAGCTTCAGGCTGTGCATATTTTTAAATGCAATGAATTGTCTGTAATTCTGAGCCTGATTCACATTGTACTGAGGTCAATGGAAAGATTCTCTTCAATGGACTTTGGATCAGGTGCTATTCACCCAAAACCACTTCCACTGAAGTCAGTGACAGTTTTGGCCTAGACTCCAACTGGAGCAGAATTTGGCTTTACTTCAGGAAGTCTGTTCCTATTGCCACTTTGGTTATTGTTTGACAGCACAAAAGCAGCCTGCTAAAATTGCAGGTAAGAAGCTGGATGCAATTGATTTAAAAAATGAAATGTGCCAAAAGATTCTGGTTATATGAACATGTGACACTTTTCATAGTGTGATGCTAATGAAAATCTGATATTAAGAATCCATGGTTTTCCTTGCACAATAATTTGACTTTTATCTGATTCAATTTAATATCGGTAGAGTAGCCTGAGAGGAGTATTGGATTTTTTAAAAGAGTATTTTAATTGCAACCGTTTGTATACAGTTTAATAAAGTGGTCCTTACCAGCACAGTTTGAGGAAAGTACTGTCCCTCAGTCAGTGAGTTTTAATGCTATTTAAAAAAACAGAGTTTAAGGATTTATAAATTGACCATTTTGAAAGCCTCAAGATTCAGACATTTTTAAATCACAATTTGTTACTAAAATATTGCTCTATATCTTAAGAGTTGAAGTAGTCAAAAAAAGTCTAAAAAGAATCATAAGTGATTTGGGCAGATAGTCATGTAATTTAGTTTGACTAAAAAATAAAGGGTACAATGTAAAGGGTACCAAACATACCTGCTGCCTGTGCAAACTATATTACAATCCATAAATGGGGATGGAGTGTACAGTTTCTTGCAACAAAACCTATCCAAACAAAAATCCACTTTCTTCTTTCAAACTACGTTTTGAATATAAAAGTACAGGAAACACCTAGGCACTCAAGAACATAGAGAAACAGGCCGAGTTCAGAGTCTGAAGATTCTCAAAAAAATTACAACAGCTGAGGACCTGACCCCTGATCTGAATCCCTGACTAGAAAGTGATGTGCACAGTTGAGCTGTTTTCAGATTCAGAATCACACTTAATGCCCAGGGTGAAATCCTGGTCCTATTAAAGTCAATGGGAGTTTTGCCCCATCTCTTCAAAAGTGATATTAAAATATTAACATGGCTGTCTTGAAATGAAAAACCAATCTTTGCCATGAGTGATATCCTCCCATCAATATGCATACTCAGCTACTATTGAATTAAGCTGGAGTTGCATGCGTACAGCAATGATGGATTATGGCCTCTCTTCAGCTACATTGCCTCAATGTATTTGCAGGCTCAGCATATGGGGCCAAAACCTGTTCGTGTTGCTCACACAGAGTCTCACTGAAGTGAACTTCCAATTTGGTCCACTTCAGACAGCTCCTCCCCTTCACATTTTCAATAGACTTCTATTCTACGGGACCTCGCATATTTCAGCGGTAATTTTATGAATATTTTAAATATTCCAGATGGAGTACCTTCATCTCCATTCTTTACTCCATTTACTTTTTACTTCCACAAGTTTTCAAGGTCAAAATTAGCTGTTATAACAGTAATTGCATTTGTCCATGTAAAAGTTTGTGTGAAGGAATTTTTGTAACTTGATTTCTGGCTAGTGACAATCCAAGATGCACCATCAGGTGGTATTTATCTCTATGCAACATAAAAACAGACATTCTTACCACTTGCCCAGAAGAGCCTGAGTTCATGAGACACATTTTTAACATTCCTTCCTCTAAGTCAGAGCCTGATTTAATTCCCACTGAAATGAATGGGAATCACACAGTCAGTGAAAGCAGAGGCTGATCCTCAGGGTCTTCTGAGCGGAGTTGAACCTAGTATTCAAAGGCTGCTGTCTGGACCACCCAGGTCTCATTTCCAGTTGTCTGGCATAAATCTGGAGCAATCTGACTGACATCACTGAAGTTATGCTAGATTGACATCTGTGTACCTGAGATGAGAATCTGAAGCAGGGTTCTGGAGTTCAAGTGAACCAACTTGTATATACATGGCTGGGTACAATATGGCCTATATCCAGCAGTTCCTTAGTAACAAGACCTTTAAACTCAGGGAAAGATAATTGTCCAGATCATGAACAAAACTAAGAAAAAAAAGAGTTTCCAAGCACTGTTATGCAGGAAGCATTTTTTACATTTCTTTAGCTCCCCCAAGTTCAGGAACATTT